AAGCACATGGCTAATGGCAAGCTTTGCTACAGCATCGCGAAAATCCCAGACAACGCGAGCTAGCGCCGCAGCAGCAAAGGCCTCACTCTCAGCAGTGGTGGGGTCAGCAGGGAAGGGATCAGGCGCGGAGGGGCGAGGAAGCAAGCCATCAACATGCATAGCCAGGGAGTGCCCATCCTGGCGCTGACCTATCAGGTGCCGGCGAAGATCGACAAGCCAGGCGGTGAAGCCAATCGCGTGCCCCTCCGCGTCCAAACGTAGCATGGCGTCCGCCATCGCGAAACCGCAGTGGCACCGGGACACAGCGGCATAGCGACACAGTGGCGCAGCGGCATAGGGACACAGGTACTCAGCTGCACGGTGGTACAACGACGTGTCGGCAGGACTCGCTGGAGCAGCGACCGGGCGCGCGAGGAGCCGGAGGGCGCGAAAGGGGGGCCGGCTAGGCAATAGAGGGACCGACGGCGGCGCTAGAAGGGGCCGGCTAAGCTCGAAGGGCCGGCTAGGCACGAGGGGGGGTGGTTGGGCGCGAGGGGCCTGCTAGGGCGCGAGGGGCTGGCTAGGGCGGTAGGGGCTGGCTAGGGCGGTAGGGGCCAGCTAGGGCGCGAGGGGGTGGCTGGGCGCGCGGGGCCGGCTAGGCGCGAGGAGCCGGCTGGGCACGAGGGGCCGGCTAGGGCGCAAAGGGCCGGCTAGGGCGCGAGGGGCCGACTAGGGCACGAGGGGCCGACTAGGGTGCGAGGGGGGCCGGCGACGGCGCGAGGGGGGTGGCTGAGCGCGAGGGGCCGGTTGGGCTCGAGGGGCCGGCTAGGGCGCGAGGGGCCGGCTGGGGCGCGAGGGGCCTGGCTAGGGCGCGAGGGGCCGGCTAGGGCGCGAGGGGCCGACTTGGGTGCGAGGGGCCGACTAGGGCGCGAGGGGCCGGCGACGTCGCGAGGGGCCAGCTAGGGCGCGAGGGGCCGGCTACGGCACGAGTGGCGGCTAGGCGCGAGGGGCCAGTGACGGCGCGAGGGGCTGGCGACGGCGCGAGGAGCCGGCTACGGCACGAGGGGGGGGCAGCTCGGGCGCGAGGGGCCAACTAGGCGCGAAGGGGCCGGCTAGGCACGAAGGAGCCGGCTAGGCGCGAGGGACCAGCTACGGCGCGAGAGGGGTTGCGTGGGCGCGATAGGGGCCGGCGAGGTGCGGTAGGCTCGGGTGCAGGGCGGAAGCGGGTGGGTGGACCTAACCTACTCATGATACAATGTTAGAATACTAGAATAACTAGAAACAAGAGAGAACAAGCAAGGTATAGGGTTGGGTTGTACTCTCTAAGAACATACACCTAGCCTATAACTTCAACATGCATAATGTATGTATAAGTTGACACGACCCTGATGAATCAGCCTTGAAAACGAAAGAACCAGGCCAACCAGTAAGAAAACCACTACGAAGAACTGATTTTCAGGGTGTTTTTTTAGATCGAGATTGATCAATCAGCGTGGCCTAAAACAAATCTGAGGGCCTGCCCCCGCTCCTACTGATTCTTTCACCCTATTCCTCAATATCCCCTTCTCCACTATGCCCTATTGCTCGCACTGTCGAGAGACCCGCTGAGGTTATGCTTGAGAAGATCCTCGGGGAAGGGCCACAGGTGCAGAGCCTAGGGGGCTATGGGCGCATTGACCCTCTATTAAAAAGCCCTTTTAAGTCAGTGGTTAGTGGCTGAGTTCTGACATGCTATCAGATTGTTGGTGACTCGGGTTCAATTTGTTAGAGTAGCGGGAAAAGTGTGACTAAGGGAAAATATCGAGGGATACAAAACTAGGGCTGTACTCACTAAGAACTAGGTTGGATAGGCTATAAACAAATATCGTAATTGTTAAGATAGGACTAGGTTAAGAACAAGGCATAGGAAGGTAGCGAGAGGTTTTAGGCTAGGAGAAAAATGTCTAGAGAAGAGGGAGATGGACTAGAAGAGGAAGGGATACAAGAACGGGGGTTGTACCCTCTACAGTAGGATCCAGTATATACAGTACACCTACCTAGCCTATACATACAAATATAAATATATATGATATATATGTTGCCAGTAATCTCCCGGCAATAGGACCCTAGTATCAAAGTTGGAAAGATTGACTAGAATGAGGCAAACATGTTGGTTTTGTCTAAGTGGTTCTACCCTTTAAGAGTACGCACCTATCTAGCCTATAAGACATATACATTATATGTTTGACACACCCCCCAGGCTAGATGAGGGGCAGTGCCTGGCAAGATACACACAGCTCAGGGTGGCACTACAAGTCCAACCTCTGAGGCAAGGTCCGAAGACCAGTCAGCAAGAGTACAAACGATACAGGAGCAACCCAGGGCGATACTACTAGTCCAGCCACTGGGACAATAGCCACAAGGCTAGTCAAGATAATATAAAAGTAGTACACAATCAAGGTCTTAGAGAATGAGAAGCTACAGCAACTAGACCAAGCTGTACACAGTGCCTCTGATGATATTTAGGCGCAAGCACATTCGCAAAGATATCAGCTGTCATGGCACCTGAGGCCAAGTGTACTATGCGGGCCTGGCGGCGCTGCTGCAGCTCGCGCAGAAGGAAGTACCGCAGCTGGATGTGCTTCGCTCTGCCCTCCAGTCGAGGCTCCTGACACAGGAGAATCATGGCCATGTTGTCAGCGCATAGGACCGGGGCACAGCTAGGTCGCTCACCTAAGTCTGTGAGCAAGAAGTCAGCCAGCGGAGCTCCTATGCGGCCATGGCACCATTGTAGATCTCAGCCTCACAGCTAGACTCGGCAACTGACGACGAACGGGTGGAACACTATGAGACGGTGCCTTCGCCAAGGCTAAAGCAGTAGCCCTGGGAGGACCTGAGTGTCTCAGCGTCTTCTGCCCATGAAGCGCCTGTGTGCCCTGTAAGGACCACTGGTCTCTGTCCTCCTAGCACTAGCCCCATGCCCGATGTACTTGCTAGATAATGCAAAACCCTCTTAGCGGCCGGCAAGTGCTGTGGTCGGTGTCTGCCTGTGGCCAGAAAATGAGCCAGGATGCTGAGAGGGTATGCAAGATCTGGACGAGTGCAAGTCATCAGGTATATGAGGCAATGCCCGCCGTAGGAGAGGCAAACGAAGGGGATTAGGAACTCGAGTTTCATCCCCCGAAGGCCCTAGAAGACCGCCGCACGTTCGATGGCCTTGAACGCGTTGGCGACGTCAATTTGCAGCGCGATGTGACCGGTGTGCGTGCCAAGGTAGACGCGGGTAACGTGGATGATAACCTCCGTGCCCCCCGGGATGGCGACGCCAAACTGGATCGGCACGAAGTGTGGAGGCGGGCGGGGGCAGTAGCGAGGAACAGGGCAGCCTTGGCAACGATGCGGTGCAGGCACTCGTCAACAGCAATGGGGCGGGTGCCACCGCCAGGCTTGGAAAAGGCGAGCAGCCGCGACGCCGTGAGAAGGGAAGTAGCTTCTGGACCAAGCTTGCCGGCGAGGGCCGTGTTAGTGAGCGCGTGGAGATGCTGGCAGATGTCGGTATTTGTGACAACTGCGTCACGCAGGTGCGCTATCTGCATTTTGTTGCCAGACACGCCACCCCAGCCTTTTGCGTGCCACCCCCCACTCACCTTGCGCTCAGACTGACCCCGTGGAATGCACTCCATCCCCCCTTCTCGCTGCTCGCCTTCTCCCCGTCACCTGCCCATCTTTTGCATTGGCTTCCCAACCAGGGCTCATCTTCCCCCCTGTCTGAGCCCACCTTCCCCCCACACCAGAGCGGGACTTCCCCCTCTGTCTGAGCTCACCTCCCCCCCCGATTTAGCTCACCCCCCCCTCCCAACCAGGGCTCATCTTCCCCCCTGTCCGAGCCCACCTCCCCCGTCAGACCACAGCGGGACTTCCCCCCCTGTCTGAGCCCACCCTCCCCCCCTGACTGAGCCCACCTCCCCTCCAAACCAGGGCTCATATTTCTCCCTGTCTGAGCCCACCTCCCCACCACACCACAGCGGAACTTCCCCCCCTGTCTGAGCTCATCTTCCCTCCCTCTCTGAGCTCACCTCTCCCTCCCAACCAGGGCTCATCTTCCCCCCTGTCCGAGCCCACCTCCCCCCCCCCACACCACAGCAGGACTTCCCCCCCTGTCTGAGCCCACCCTCCCCCCCTGACTGAGCCCACCTCCTCCTCCCAACCAGGGCTCATATTTCCCCCTGTCCGAGCCCACCTCGTGCCCCCACACCACAGCGGGACTTCCCCCCCTGTCTGAGCTCACCCTCCCCCCCTGACTGAGCTCACCTCCCCCTCCCAACCAGGGCTCATATTCCCCCCTGTCTGAGCCCACCTCCCCCCCACACCACAGCGGGACTTTCCCCACTGTTTGAGCTCACCTTCCCTCCCTCTCTGAGCTCACCTCCCCCTCCCAACCAGGGCTCATCTTCCCCCCTGTCCGAGCCCACCTCGTGCCCCCACACCACAGTAGGACTTCCCCCCCTGTGCTGGAGCACCTCCCATGCTGCATCCCTTCACATGCTGCAGCTCATCTCAACCTTCATCTCTCCCCCATGCTGTATCCCTTCCCATGCTGCATCCCACGCCAAGCTGGCAGGCCCACCCCATGCTGCATCCCCCCCCCATGCTGCATCCCCCCACCCCCCCCCAACCCTCTTGCCCATGGTCCCTCCCGGCAGACCCCTCCCCCATGCCTTCCTATCATCAGTGGTCCCATCCGGCAGACCCCTCTCTCACGACCAACCAGTGCCCCCTTGCTTTCATCTTCCTCCTTTGCAGGCAGCCTAAGAGCTCAGCTCGCTGCGATGCGTGGCGCTAAGAATGGGACATCGGTTTGAGAGGGAGTGCAGCCGATGCTGCCTAAATTGTGGTAGTTTAGTTTGTTGGTCGCGCATGTGTGTGGATGTGTGGAGCGGATCTGCCTGCAAGTCCCGCGCGTCACATGCGTCTGACACTCCGAGCGTAGGCGATGCCCCCCAAACCGTGTTCACATAGACTCATGTCGCTTTTTCAAGTGCTTGTTCGGTCCACCTTTATTATATGAAACAACTAGCACACTGGACACAGACCCTGTTTTCTGTAACCTTTATAGCGAGCACGTTACCCCAATTGGTACAACCAATTGCTCGTCATAATTCCAACAGCCCACCCAACCGCCAACCACCATTGATCCTTAGAGTGCGATTGATGGAACTCGGATGATCAAGCGAGACGAATGCCGGATGTCATTTTTCCAGAAGGATTGAGCGGCGGAATTGCTTGTGTGCGAGGCGTGACATGTAAGTGCGGCATCACCTGCGGCACGAGGTTCACCCGGGGGGATATGGAAGGAGGCCGCGTGGTGATTGGGAGAAAAGTACGGGAGACAGCATGGGGTAGGAGACAGCATGGCGTGGGGTACAGCATGGGGTAGGATACAGCATTGTGTGGGGGATACAGCATGGGGTAGGATACAGCATGGGAGGGGATACAGCATGGGGTAGGATATAGCATGGGGTAGGATACAGCATGGGGTAGGATATAGCATGGGGTAGGATACAGCATGGGGTAGGATATAGCATGCGAGGGGTCACAGCATGGGGTAGGATACAGCATGGGGTGGGATACAGCATGGGGTGGGATACAGCATGGGGTGGGATACAGCATGGGGTGGGATACAGCATGGGGTAGGATACAGCATGGGGGGGGACACAGCATGGGGTAGGATACGGCATGGGAGGGGATACAGCATGGAGTAGGATATAGCATGGGGTAGGATTAGACATGGGCAAAATGCGATTGCGATTTAAATCACATCGCATGCAGGTGCGATGATTTAATTTGCGATGCGATTTTAAATCGCATCGCGCGATTTAATTTTTGGAAAAAAATACATCGCACATCGCGTTTTGCCTGCGATGTATTTAAAAATCGCAAGCGATGATTTATTAAATCGCGCGATGCGATATAAAATCGCATCGCATTTGTAAACGTTTTCAAAAAAAAAAAAAAAACTTTTGAAAACTGGAACACGTGATGGTGCGGGCATTGACGATTAAAAATACCGTTCAGAGTGGGTTTCACACAAATGCGAGCCCCGTGGTAAGGGCCCGACTTTCGTAGCTTAAAAAAAAATAGGTGCATGGGTTTCAAAAGGGGGGGGAGGGGGGGGGGGAAGGGGGGAGGGCAGCTGCCAGCTGGATGGTGTGGGGAGGGCTTTGCAAATTTTCCCTATGTGCTGGCGAGATTTCGCGCTGCGATGTATTTCGACATCGCGCGCGATTTAATTTAAATCTCAAATCGCGTTTAAATCGCGATTTTCCGCTGCGATTTAAATGCGATTTAAATTAAATCGCGCGATAAATAAATCATCGCATCGCGCGATGAATTAAAAAAAAAAAATACATCGCCATCGCAAATCGCGATTAATCGCGATGCGATGCGATGCGATGCGATTTAAATTGCTCATGTCTAGGTAGGATACAGCATGGGAGGGGTCACAGCATGGGGTAGGATACAGCATGGGAGGGGATGCAGCATGGGGTAGGATACAGCATGGGGGGGGATACAGCATGGGGGGGGATACAGCATGGGGTAGGATACAGCTTGGGGTAAGATATAGCATGGGGTAGGATACAGCATGGGAGGGGTTACATCATGGGGTAGGATACAACATGGGGTAGGATACAGCATGGGAGGGGATGCAGCATGGGGTAGGATACAGCATGGGAGAACGGGAGAGCGGGAGCGCGGGTGAGCGGGCATGCAGAAGGCGTGGGGGATGCGTGGGGGATGCGTGTGTTGGTTGAGGATGCAGAAGGCGTAGAGATGCAGCATGAGGTGCGAAACAGCATGGGGTGGGACGCAGCATCAGGTGAGATGCAGCAGGGGGTGGGATGCAGCATGACTGGGATGCAGCATGAGGTGGGATGCAGCATAAGGTGGGATGCAGCATAAGGTGGGATGCAGCATGGGGCGGGGATGCAGCAGCGGGGGGGATGCAGCATGGGGTGGGGGATGCAGCATGGGGTGGGATGCAGCATGGGGTGGGGTTACAGCATGGGGTGGGATGCAGCATGGGGTGCGACGCAGCATGGGGGGAGTTGCAGCATGGGGTGAGATGCAGCATGGGAGGGGATGCAGCATGGGGTGAGAAGCAGCATGGGGTGGGATACAGCATGGGGTAGGATACAGCATGGGGTAGGATACAGCATGGGGGGGGGTACAGCATGGCAGCGGAATGCTGCAGGGCGGGGATACACTCAGTGGAGGTATACAGCAGGGGGAGGAATGCTGCAGGGCGTGGTGTGAAAGTGGGAGTTTGGGAGGTTGGGAGTGTTGGCGAGCGAGAGAGGAGGAGAGCAGGAAAACGGGAGAGCAGAAGAGCGGGAGAGCAGGAGAGCGGGAGAGCGGGAGAGCGGGAGAGCGGGAGAGCAGGAGAGCGGGAGAGCACCGCTGCCACTGCCCCAGCTGCTGCCACCCCTCCCACTGCTGCCCCTTGCCCTGCTCTCCCTCCTCCTGCTGCTGCTTACGCTCCCACTCCTCCCCCTCCCCCTTCCCCTTCCCCTCCCAGCCCTCCTGCACACCCACCTCCATCCCCCACATCCTCCCCCTTGCCCTCCCCCTCCCAGTCCGCGCCCATCCCCCCTGCGCCGCCCCCGCGCCCCCCACCTCCCTCAGGGCCGTCATGTTGGGGTTCATGTCGTCTGGGGCGAACCCCCCCGGCTGCCAGAAGTGCCCCGCGGGCAGGTTGTCCGCGGCGTCTGGCGCCAGCAGGGAGACGACATGGGTGTAGCGGATGAAGTCCACCAGCACATCGTACCCGATGCCTGGGGGGGGGGAGCGATGGCAGGGAGGGGGGGGAGGAGGGGCAGAAGGAAGAAGACATAGGGGTGGGGAAACAAGGAGGGGGAGAGGGAGCCGGATGGGGAAACGAGGGTGAGGAATGGCTCGTGAGAGGGGTGCGCTGGTGCAGCACGGGGTGGTCTGCTGTGAGAGAGGGACGGGGGGAAGGAAAAGGAGACGGGCGAAGGAGGGGAGGCTCATGACGCGGTGCAGGGGGGCAGTGAGAGGGGTGCGCTGGTGCAGGGCGGGATGGCCTGGCAGGGGGAGGTGCAGCAGGGGGTGGGATGCAGCAGGGGAGCAGGCAAGCAGGAGAGCGGGAGCGCGGGTGAGCGGGCGAGCGGGCGAGCAGGAGAGCAAGAGCGCGGGCGAGCAAGAGAGCGAGAGAGCGGGAGAGCGGGAGAGCGGGAGCGCGGGAGAGCGGGCGAGCGGGAGAGTGGGAGCGCGGGAGAGCGGGAGAGCGGGAGCGCGGGAGAGCGGGCGAGCGGGAGAGCAGGAGCGCCGGAGAGCGGGAGCGCGGGCGAGCGGGAGAGCGGGAGATCGGGAGAGCGGGAGAGCGGGAGCGAGCGGGAGAGCGGGAGAGCGGGAGAGCAGGAGAGCGGGAGAGCGGGAGCGCAGGAGAGCGGGAGAGCGGGAGAGCGGGAGAGCGGGAGCGCGGGAGAGCAGGAGAGAGTTTGTGGAATGACGTGGAGCTTTGCGCAGGCGGGCAGGGCTGCGTGGTCGAATCCATATTTTTCCCAGCCGCGTGGGCGATTCCTAGTGGCCCTTGCTTGGCGCGCGGTTGGGAGCGGGCTAGGCGCGAGGTGCGGAAGGGATAGGCATGGGTCGGGCGAGGGCATGCCCTGTCCAGAACGGCGTTGCGCGTAGTGGACAAACGCGATATGTGTTTCGCATGCGAGGTGTTGGGCGGCGCCGAATAACCGAGTGTGGTTCTCGCCTCTCCCAATAGCGCATTTTTTCGCGGCGTCGTGGCGTGGGCATGGGAATGGCTTGGCGGAAATGGCGGGGCACTACGTCATGGCCTACGAGTGCATAATAGTGTCCAAGGGACTTAGCATCTTGGTGGGTTGGTGGGTTGTTTTGCTGTAGGGAGACCACCTGCGTCCTATGGCTGTCGCACGGCCAATCAGTGATTTGCGCCAACCAAGTTTCCCCTTCTCAAGTGTAAGGAATTTTCTATTCCTTACCGAGCAGTACTGCAAATCGCGTACGCTCGAACACATCCGAAGCCTCGGGTTCGTTCCGGACCTTTCTGACCTCGGCTTCTCCAGACATTCTGGTTCGACCTTCGGGAGTTCTCTGGGCCTAGCTCTGGTGTTCCTATATCTTGGCTTCCCATGCCTTGTATCGTCATTTTTCAGTGATTGAACACTTCGTTATACATTTCCGCGCTACTCTACTTCATTCATAACACCTGGTATTCAGAGCCACTTTCCTCGCTCACCCGTTTTCGTGAGTTGATTTTTTTGGGGGGGGGGGGGGGGGGGGGGGGTGTAAGTCCCTCACGTAAGCTGCAAAGCGGTTGCTCGCGAATTAGACTGATTAATTCGCCCAACTACGATAGCGTTTGCGCCTACCTAAGTACAGGCACATTACGGATTTCCCCATGCCCCGGCGGAGCATTCGCCAAATGGACCAAGCTCAGTTCAACGAGCTTCGGGAGCAGTTCAACGCCATGAACACACGCATGACTACAGTGCTGGAGGACAACGAGCGACTTCGTGCAGAAGTTGCCGAGTTACGCAGGCGCGAGAGGATTCAGGTCAGAAAACTGCCGCCCAAGAGGAGGTCGCCAGCACCGGACGTGTCGAAACCGTTTTGGACGAAATCGCATGTGAGGTGTCCCAGGAGCGCAAGGACGGTGAAGCCGCCGCAGCAGCTGACGTGGCAGCACGAGCAGCAGCCGACGCAGCAGCAGCAGCGACAGAAGCAGCCGCTCGGTCAGAAGCAGCCGCTACTGTAGCCGCACCGGCGTTTATGCCGATCGTGACGACAGCGACGATCAAACTGACAATGCCGCCCCCGTTCAACCCCACAGATAAGAATACTACTGTTACGGGCTGGTTATTTTCGGCGGAACTTTATTTTAATGCCGCTGGGATCACGGTTGACGATTTAAAAATTCGGCTGGCTGTATCACTACTGCGGGGACCTGCGCTAGATTGGTGGCGATATACACTACAGGAGGGGGGGTTTTCGGCAGGCGACACACTGGGGTTTTTTTCGGAGACTTTGGGTCTTCTGCCCAAGGGTCAACCGCAATTTTTTGATCGACCAAGATTCGCCCGTGGAAGGCGTGGGGTACAGCTCTGCGTGAACGGTTCGAGCCAATATCCGCCTCGGACAACGCACGCACGAAGCTGGACAACTGGCGTCAGTGGAGTTCTGTCCAGAATTACGCGTCGGTCTTCATGGCGTTATGCAATCAAATCACCGACTTGCATGACTCCGAGAAGAAAGCTCGATTCATTTCGGGTCTGAAGCAGGACATTAAATGCGAGGTCCGACTGCGACTTCCGGCGACGTTTCACGAAGCAGTCCGGATCGCAAACACTTTCGACGCACATCGGACGTATGCGAGAGCGGGTTCCCGGGAGGGAAATCGTTTTCGTGGCCAGAATCCACGGCCCACGATTCACGGCGTAGTGGCGAGGGAGCACATGGAAGACTTTCGCAAGGGACAATGTTTCAACTGCCACCAGCCGGGTCACCAATCTCACGATTGCCCCCGAAAGAAGCAGATAAAGAAGAACGACGAAGGCGGGTCGGGAAACGCCAAGCGTCAGTAGCGGTCGGGCCCCCTATTGACCCTGCCTCATCGCCCGAAAAACACCATCCCTACCGAATAGTGGTTCCGATACGTGCTATCAACCGCTCCCGGCTGAATAAGGGGGATGACCCAGTGAACCACCTTGTACTGGCGGAGGGACGACTCAACGGAAGAAAAATAAAAATATTCATCGACGGAGGTGCGAGTCACAGCCTCATCAATCGAGAGACAGCACGACGATTACACATGAGAATGGAGAGGTGTCTGCCCGAAATCGACGCGCGATTGGTGGACGGCACCCCCCTGGCGATACGCGACAAAGTACCTGTCGTTCGAATGAAGTGTGGCGAAGATTTTGGTTTCAGCGCGCCGATGCTGGCGACAATGCTCGACGGCTACGACGTGCTATTGGGGCGCGATTGGCTGCGAAGATTCAATCCGCAGATCGATTGGACAACAAGCGAGTGCACAGTGAAGTGCGACAAAGGCTGGCGAAAATTACCCACGTGGCCAGAAGCAGAGATCACGTCGACATGAGTCAACGCGGTGTGCCTCAACCGAGCGGTCAAGAATGGAGCGGATTTATACGCCGTCCATCTAACCGAATCGACGGAGCAGAATGAGGCGACCGACATCAACAAACTCTGCGCTTCGGTCCCGGATGACTTGGTGAAAATCATTCTGGAATATCCTGAGATTTTCCCGGACGACTTGCCAAGTGGACTGCCACCCGAACGACCCCAGGACCACAAAATCGAGCTGGAGCCGGCGCGCAGCCTACTGTACGCACGCAATGGCGCCTGACTCAGCCGGAGCTACAAGAATTACGCAACCAGCTGGACTACCTGCTGGCGAAAGGGTTCATTCGGCCGAGCACGTCACCGTTCGCAGCACCGATCTTGTTCACCCCTAAAAAGGACGGCGGACTTCGCATGTGTACGGACTATCGTGCCCTTAATCGGGTAACGATAAAATCGCGCTACCCAATCCCACGTACGGACGAACTGATCGACAACCTTCGCGGAGCTCGCTATTTTTCGAAGATCGACCGTCTCATTACCAAGGGCTCCAAGTGCGAGTTTTTAAAACAAGAACTGGAGTTCCTGGGGCACGTGATTTCCATGGAGGGGATCCGGATAGACCCGAAAAAACTCTGGGCTATTCAGGAATGGAAACCACCAACAAACCTGCAGCAGCTGCAATCATTTCTGGGTTTCGTGAATTACGTGCGGCGGTTTATACCCAGCATGGTGGGGTTAACTGGGCCTCTAACCGACCTACTGTAGAAGGGGACTTTTTACGAGTGGGGGGAGAAGCAGCAAGCTGCGTTCGAGACATTGAAAACTCTTTTAATGTCGCCACCGGTACTTCGCATCGCTGACCCGGAACGGCCCTTCGAAGTCATCACCGACGCAAGTGACATCGCCATCGGAGCAGTGCTCATGCAGGACTTCGGCAATTGGCTTCAACCAATTGCGTACGAGTCTCGGAAAATGCAATCTGCTGAGTGCAACTACCTGGTACACGACAAGGAGATGCTGGTGATCGTCCACGCGTTCAAAATCTGGAGGTGCTCCCTGACTGGAGCAGACGTGACGGTGCGAACCGATCACAAATCTCTACAGTACCTGAGAGTGCAGCCGAATCTCAACCCGCGGCAGATACGGTGGCTGGACTATCTAGAGTCCAACTTCACGTACAAGATCACGTATAAAAAAGGCGCCAACAATATTGCCGATGCCCTTTCCAGACCATCTGCCCAACTCGCAGCAGTACTAGTCGCCTAGAGCAACCCGTTACTGAGTGGACTATTTACCCATGGGTATTTGATGGACCCCTTCTTCGTAAACGACGGCCATCTCCCAATCACTACACAGAAAGGCGTCTATTACTTACGAAGTGGAACCGATCGAATTTGGGTCCCAAGTTATCGTCTACTTCGCGAATTACTAATTAAAAAAGTCCACGATTCGAATTTATCGGGACATTTCGGGGTTGATAAAACTATGAAGGCGTTGCAGCAGTTTTATCACTGGCCAGATATGGTGACGGACGTGCAGCATTACGTGGCCGCGTGTCCGTTCTGCCAGCGAATGAAGTCATCCCACCAGAGACCGACAGGACTGTTGCAGCCCCTCGAGCCACCTCAACGCCCATGGCAACACGTAACGATGGATTTCGTTACGGGACTACCGGCCGGACCCAGCGGAAATGACGCAGTTTTGGCTGTCGTCGACCGATTGGCGAAAATGGCGCATTTCGCACCATGTCGTACAACCATCACAACCGAAGAAACCGCGCGCTAGTTCATCTCGACCATCGTTTGCCTACACGGGATACCAGCAGCAATCATTAGCGATCGGGATCCGAAGTGCACGTCGAAATTCTGGTAGGATACGTGGGCTCGGTACGGCACGCGCCTGCAGTTCTCATCCGCTTATCATCCCCAAACGGACGGTCAGACTGAAAGGACAAACCAAACGATGGAGCAGCTGATTCGGACAAACTGCCCCGACTGGAAAAAATGGGAGGACGTGCTACCCATGTTGGAATTTTCCTACAACAACGCGCCCTCATCAACGACTAATCACTCCCCGTTCTATCTCAACTTCGGGATGGACCCCACCGTACCCGTCTCCACCAACGTTGAGAGTCAAGTACCACGATCGCAATAGTTCGTTGACGAATTACATTCTGCCCGAGACAAAGCTGTCGAACTTATTTGCAAGGCGAACGCTACTACCCGACGGTATGCAGATTTACATCGACGGGATATTACAATGGTAGCCGGGCAACTAGTCCTTTGGGACACCAAGAATTTACGACTGCCACTACGGACGAAATTACGACCACGTTTCTGTGGCCCATTCAAGATCATGAAGATGGTGACGCTGGTGACCGCCCAGTTGCGCCTACCTGATGACTGGCGTATTCACAACAAGTTCCATGTGAGCCTGTTGCGGCCTTTCGTGCCCGACACATCAGACATCGCCCGACAGCGATTGGTCCCAAATGTACGGCCACCAGCCGAGACGACCATCGAGCCTTCAAAGATTTTGAGCCATCGGATTCGTATGGACGGCCAAGGACGACACGTTGACTTCCTGATACGATGGTCCAATCGTACCAGTAAGGACGACACGTGGGTGCCCTCGGACCAGATACAGTCACCTCCGATACTTGAGAATTATTTGGCCCGCAAGCATGTGACTGATATAGATCACCTTCGCTAAAAGGGGGGGGGGTGGTGTAAGGAATTTTCTATTCCTTACCGAGCGGTACTGCAATCGCGTACGCTCGAACACACCCGAAGCCTCGGGATGGTTCCGGACCTTTTTGACCGAATCACCTCGGCTTCTCCAGACCTTCTGGTTCGACCTTCGGGAGTTCTCCGGGCCTCGCTTTGTCACTCGAGACCCTTCGATCTCCTTCCCGAACCTTTCCATCTCATGGTTTGACTAGCTCTGGTGTTCCTATATCTTGGCTTGCCATCCCTTGTATCGTCATTTTTCAGTGATTGAACACTTTGTTATTCATTTCCGCGCTACTCTACTTGTTCATTCATAACATCAAGGGCTAACAGGGTTACCAGGTTTCCTTGGTTTTGGCCTTGCGTGGGTTCGCTACTCGGCAGCTTCAAAATCCTTTGAACCTTGAAGTTATTGTATACTTTCGCTTTAATCGATCTGGACCGAAAACGGCAGAATCTACCTGAGACATTGAGAAATTGAACACGTGACGCGCATTTCGTAATTGCGGTAACATGCGTAACACCTGACAGTTTCACACCTGAAACTGTTATAACAACTACTTATAGGTAGGTAAAAATTACCAACTGAGCATGTGCTGTAATTTTTTTCAGCTGCCATTGCTGACTTGGCTAAGCGCAACTTGGAGTAGTTACAGTATGTTAACGTTCTTGTGCGAGCATTCTCTTCGTGTTCAATGAGGTTCAATATGGTAGTACTAGTCTTTGCCTTGTATACCATAATTTGTAATCTTGATTCTAGTGAATTTGTGTGCCCAAGCTTTCTCAAGCTACTCAGTGAAACACACAATTCTCAAGGCTATCTCTCTTTAGAGAACTATAGAGCTAGAGTAGCTCTATCTGCGTCAGGCACTTCCGCATAAGCTCCCGTTATAGCAGAAATCTCTGCATCTTCCTACCTAACTAAACCCTTCTTGTAATATGGTATCAGAGTAAGTTGTGTTACAAGAGGTTTTAGCTAGGTAGGAGGAGTTTAGCGAGAGAAAAGAGAATCACTGGAGAAGAGAGAGGGGAGCAAGAGTAGAGATGTCCCCTCCACAGTAAGCACAAGTACTTTGTAGAACTCCTACCAAGCATACACAACTATATATACGTAATATATATGTTGACACACCCCCTAGGCTTGGTAGGCGCTAGCACACCACACACGCAACATCCCCAAGCCCTAGCACCCCATGTCCTGCAGCAGCTGAGGCATGCGAGACGACGATGTCGGCGGCGGGTGGCAGTGGCGGCGGCGGCGGCGGCGGCCGGCGGCGAACACCCTAGTAATGCTTGCTTGTCACTGCACATAACAGGGCGTGAGCGCAAAGGCACAATGGCGAGGCAGCGCATGATGTGCGTATAAGGATGCAAAGCCACCACGAGCATATGCAAGAACCCAACAATATTCTGGGTGGGTTGGGGTGGGGGAGGGGGTTGACAAGCAACTGCCTTTGTAATGCACAAGGAACGGCAGAGTATACGAAAGCATGCTGAAGGACGAGAAGGGCAGCACGACATACGACAAACGTGCATTGGGAAGCGGGGGGAGGGGGGGTGGCTGGGTTGGGACACCCCCCCTTCCCCAATTTAAAATGGCAGTCAACTGGAGGGGTTTGGCGGAATAGTATGCCGGTACGGTAGAAAGGCCTGGAGCATGTGCGGAGGATAGACCAAGCGCCAAGGAGCTGGACACAATTACCTGTAGCTAGTCTTGCCAACCTAAGGCGATATCATCTTAGCGTAGAACGAATTTACTAGAATGAGGTGGTGCAAGGGGATATAACCTAAGGGGTTGTACTCAATATAAGCATGCACCTAGCTAGCCTATAACATATATACAGTGGCGGAATAAATTGCCCGGATGTTTAACACTTTGAAACATATCGCTATGCCACACATGTTTCGAAAATAGTAACACCTGTTTTTTGCCATTCCGTTACAAGGTGTTCGAGTTCTGCTTCAACCGTTTCTTGCTTGGCGCGATTGTGACACAACCGGAAAGTGGGGTTGAAATTTACTCCTCGAATATTGAAGCGGACATTTCCTACCGAGCGGAAGAGTAGATCTATTTTCCCCCGTCACTCGGTGTGTACATCGTCACGCGCAATAGTTGCTGGCTTAGGAGTTAGTCCGAGAGCGAGCCGACGACCGCATCGCCATGAAGCTGTTAAATGAGCGGAAGCGCGCGCGAATCATAAGCATGTTGCGTGCGGGCCATTCGACTAGGAAAATAGGCAAAGTTCTTGGCATAGGCAAGAGCACCGTGCACGATTACGGTTTGAAAGTGGCTGCCGAGACTAGTCGAGAGGAGGTGCGACCTACGATGCCTACGGCCAGCCGCCCCCGCTTAATCACTACCCGTCTCCAGCGCGGAATAATACGCGCGATTACAAGCGGCGAGGCGAAAAGCTCTCTAGACGCGGCATATATGTTGTTGGAGAAGCACGATCTCGCCGTAGACTCAAAGACGGTACGGAACTCATTACGATCCGCGGGGCTGATCGCCGTGCATCAGCCCAAGAAACCCAGGCTCTCACCGAAAAACATCCGAGATCGTCTCGACTTCGCGCGGTCGCATGCTGACTGGACGCTGGAGGACTGGAAGCGGGTGATTTGGTCTGACGAGACAAAGATAAACCGCTACTGCTCCGACGGACGTGCGTACGCCTGGATTCGCGAGGGCACCAGCCTTCGGAGCCACCAAGTCCAACAGACAGTTAAGCATGGGGGCGGTTCTGTGATGGTGTGGGGTTGCATGACGTATGAGGGGGCGGGGTTCATGTGCAAGATAGATGGCAGGATGGATGGGCCACTGTATCGCAGCATCTTGCAAGATGAGCTCAAACAGACCATCGATTTTTTCAAGCTTTCCCCCTCAGAGGTCATTTTCCAGCACGACAATGATCCCAAGCACAGGTCTCGTCTGGTCCAAGACTGGCTTGGGGAGCAGGAGTACGCGGTGCTGGAATGGCCGTCATGCTCCCCGGACCTTAACCCCATTGAGCACCTGTGGGCACACTTGAAAAGGCAGCTGGGGAAGTACGAAAAGCCGCCAAGTGGAATGCTGGAGCTGTGGGAGAGGGTGCAGGAGGAATGGGACAAGATACCGGCAGAGGTGTGTGCAAACCTGATCGACAGCCTACCGAGGAGGATCAAGGCAGTGATTCGGGCAAAGGGACGCTGGACTAGGTACTAGTTTTCACAGAATCTAGTATGCTACCAGTTTTCGGTACAAATTGTCCGGATGTTATCCTATGCTATGCTTAGGTGTTTAAGGACCATGTGTGGTACTACTTTGGTGTTTGTCAACTCGAGTGAGTGCTCTAACTGAACTTCTCAGCGTGTATGCACACCATACATTAAGGCTTAATGTTTACATCGCTGCACTCATCAAAATGCCAAAAAAGGCTGAACATGTGGACAATTTATTCCGCCACTGTAAATCATATGTTGAAAACTACCCCCATTAACCCCGCGGAGCCCGGAACTTCGGCCGGGGCAACCGCCCGTCGCCGGAAACGTCCTGCTGAGGACAATTCTGGCGAGGGGCCCTCGGCTATTGAGGTACTCCTCGGCGCCACTCACGCCCCTCCCAAAGAAACACGTGCAGCTGTCAAACAGCCGCGTGTGCTGCCGGCCGAGGAGCACGCGCCTGCGCACACCGCGACGGCTGC